TGCTGGTATGGGGTGGATTGTGTAGGGTGTGTTCCTGCAGCTTGGTATGGCTCCCACTGTGTATGGGAGTGTTTGTGGTTTCTGTATTTGTGCGTGTTTCCTAGCTTACGATTTCCTTCTTGCTGCATGTATTTATTTATGTGAATATGACACTGGCAGTGCCCATGTCATACTATCTGACATCTCTGACAGGAAAGTCAACTTACACTGTGGTGTCAGCAAAAAATCATGTATTATTTCTGCTGGAATTCTTTTTCTTTTCCCTTTCAATAGCCTTTAGATAGAGAGATAGAGATGGAAGGTCTATGGAATCTCCATTTGCTGTAGTTTTAGCTGCATTTGCAAATCTCTGATTTTCATAGGCAGTTTTCTAAAGATCTTCCTCTTTTCTTTTTTTTTTTTTTTTTTTTTTTTCAGTTGAAGATAATTCTGAAAAAGAAATGGCTCCTCATCTGATAGTCTCCCTTTCCCCAGAGACTGGAAAGCTGGCCAACCTGCCAATACCATGTGTGCCAGGCTACCTAAGATCAGCATGATTCGGGCATATGAAGGGTCTGATGTTTTGGATCACTGTGTTTYCAGGGTGTCCCCCTGCAACCAGCTTGAAAAAGACTGAGCAGAATCAAGTTGCAAAATTGTTTCATAGTTTCTTCTTTCAACCCACAGTGCAGGAGTGATGAGTGGGGACATGAGCAGAACATGAATTCCTACATATAAAGCAAAAGCAAGAGGATGCTGTGCAGCCTGGAGTAGATCTGTGGTCTTCGTGGGGCAGGATATAGGCAGTCAGGTAGTGAAATACCCTATCTGGCTTTGAAAGAGTTTCTTGTAGCTGTGATAGCTGCTCTGCCAGTATGGGCTGGCAGAGCCATGCACAACCAGGGTTACTACTACTCATGTTATATGCAGAAATTGCTTCTACAGGCTGTCAGGGTGCATGTGCAACTCCCTGCATGCTGCCTGCAGTCTGTAGAGGCCAGCTAGGAGGCCGGCGGAGCCACTGGGGCAGGCAGGGCCAGCGGCCGTGCAGCCCAGTGTCCCTTCAGCGAGGGGCCTCATTCCTGCAGCCGGCCCTCGCCGACGTCCCGGCCCCCTGCACCGAGCGCTGAGGGCTTTGCCACCCTCTTCTCTTGCTCCCGTTGCTCGTCTTGTCTCTTCCATAGGCTTGCTGAGGCCCTTAGGGGAGGTGTCTCTCAGGAATGAGAGGAATGTGAACACTGGACCGGATCGTGGCAGTTGCTTTTACAACTTGGCTACTTGGGCAAACTCTGCCCTGCAAGAGCAAAGGGGCAGCAAAGGCCCTTGCTCCGGATTTCCTCCTGCAGGTACTGCCAGGTGGCCTCACAGAGCGATAACTAAGCCCTGGGTATGAGTCACTGCTCACCAGCCTTCTGGTGAGCACCCTGATGCTCACAACTCTCTAYGTGGCTCTGCATGGCTGGGGATCGCCTAGACTAGGATCACTGGGCTCTCACTGTGGGTRTCTCCTCATGCCTTCCAAACAGACTGGTTTACATGGAGGAAAGGGGATAAATATTAACCATGAGCTTGACAACCTGCCGCTTGGGGAAGGTGTTTTGGGGAGCTGAGATGTCCTAGCTTCTTCCTACCGTGACAAGGCATGGTCACGGTTTGCTTTTATTGAAACAGGAGCTTCCAGATACTCTGGAAGATACTCAGATACTCATCCCTGATGCAAGCAGTTCAGGGGTAGATTTGGCAAATTTGGCYGGAATTTGCTTTCTGTATTGTCCAGCTGTTTGGACTCAGGAGGTACTTTCCAAAAGACATCTGGCAGGCTTTGCAAAAACTGTGCTCCAGAGTGCAGCCTCCAGATGTGCTTCTTTGCTGCCCTCTCTGGGAGCATAACAGCAGAAAACAGTATAAGAAAAGCATCATTCTCGGTTTCCTGGTGGAAAATTTATAGCGTGAATTGCTGCTGGAGCCTGTGTCGTGCTGCGGGATGCCTGGGTGTGAGCTGGCTCTGACGAAGGATCAGTGCAGTCACACTGGTGCTGAGCTGATGTGGTTGGGCGCGTTTATTCATGGYCGGCGTTGGAGCACTGTGACATGAGTTACTTATGAGTCCTAGCAGAAGTTGCCATATGAGCAGGGCTATGGACAATAGCTTCCTTTTTGATCTGTGCTGTTTTGTATCAGCAAGAGTTTACATCTGTAGAAAACACTAGTGAGTACAAGGAATCCTTCTCCCTGTCTTGAAGGAATGGTAGAAAAATCTCATCTTTTGGCCAGTTTTCATTAGTCTTTTGCATCAGAAAAGAAGGAGAGGAAGAAAAGAAGGGAGTGCTGCACCCTGCAGGCTGCCAGATCTGGACTGAGTTGCAGTCCCGGTACTGAAGGGTAAAGCGATAGGAGCCCTTTGAAATTTAAAGGGTCTAACAGTGATGGTTTTTGCCTAGTGGAGCATTTGAAGGTCTGAGGGCAAATACCACTCTAGCATTAGTCAGGTCCAATCCAGTTTGCCATGAGGTGCAGCACTTGGCCAAGACAGCACCCATCCACAGCTGAAGAGGACTAGGGCAGGAGGGAAAATGTTCACAGAAACAGAGTGTTTGGTCTGTGGTCTGGGTCGGATGGGACTTAGAAGACCGGGTGGGAAAAGGCACCGCTAAGGAAGCAGGCAACGCTCCTGCCCTTTCTGCTCCCAGGAAACCCAAGCAAGCGCAGGCTGAGCGCCATGGGCCAACCTTGCAGCCCAGGGGCTGGTGCATAGAGAAACTGTAGCAAATCCCCTCCTGCCTCTTTACAAACTAGGCCCCCAAGACAGGTCTTTTGCAGAGCAGTGCTGGCTGTTATCAGCACATCTCCTGGAGCTCTTTCAGAACACAGCCTCTGCTCCACCCCAGGCTAGCGAACAGTCATTCCTKCATGCACTTGCCCTGACTGAAAGACCACCAGCTCGGCCAGCAGGGCCAGTTTTATAAGCCCAGCGCTTTGTGTCCTCAGCAGGGCAGTGGGGAGCACCAGCAACGCTGCAGCTCTCGAGACACCCACCCTATGGAGGGTTCTTCACGTGCCTTGTCCTGTGGTGTTTCCTTGGGTGTGGCGCCATCCCGCTCAGATGTCTGCCCTGGGATGGCATGTGCCACAAGATGCCCGGCTCTCACATGAGGATGGCCTGGCTGAGTGTTCAAGTGGATAGTCATAGCCGTGGGGGAGCTTCCCCCCGGAGCCTGCTGGATGTGCTTGTGCCAAGCCTAGCCTAAAGGAGACSTCTTCCAGGGTATGCTGCCAGGCACTGCAGTTTTGATGCTTCTCAGATGCTGATCTCCAGCGCTGGGGCTGGAAATAAGCTGCCTTTAAGCCCACACTGTCCCTAGGTTTGGCAGTGGTGTGAAGGGAGCAGGGTGGGGGAGGCAGTGGAACCATTCGGCTTCCTTGAAACCCTGCTATCATAGGAATGGTAGTTAATAGGCTCCAGGTTGTTGCATTTTTCATACCCATGTCCCTCTTATGTGTTTACTCAGAAAAGAATCCCACTCTATCCTGAAATGTCAAGTGGGCAGTCCCTGGGCAAAGTTGCTCTCAGAGGTGCCTTGAGGAATTCAAAGCTTTTGAGTGAAAGTTGCTCTTGGCTACAGACTTTTTTTTTTAAAGTCTGATTTCATTATTAATCATGGTAAGAGACAGCTTCCTAAAATGTGTTCTACCCAGAACTATTGCTAACTAGCCTGGAAACACTCAGTGCCCCAGCCAGCTTCCTTACTACTGAAACACATCTGTTTCTCAGGCAGGAGGAACCCTCTGCATGACTGAGTCACAAGCCATAGGGCCAGAAGGGACCTCAAGATGTCATGAAGCCCATCCCACTGCCACAAGATAAGATCAGTTCATCTTTTCAGCCTTTTCTATAGAACTGTCCACAGCACCAACCCGAGCCCCAGGATCCACAGCTGGACTGAGCTTTTTCACTCTCTTTTGGATAAACGGGGAGGGGTGGATTTCTGCAACAGGAACCAAAGCSTAGTGCCAATGAAGTTGCTTTCATCCACTCCCTTTCTCACACCTCAAAAATAGTTCAGGGATTTGACCGCCGGATGATAACAGTAGCAGGCAGGTGAAATTAAGAGAACTGGAGAAAAAAAGGGCAAGAAGGAAGGGTGAGATTGCATGGAAAAAGACCAGTTAATAAAGAAAATCAGTGGTGTGCACCATCCTACACTTTCCAGTGGAGCCTCCCCCGCAGTGATGCATCCTGTGGTGCTCGTAGCGATTCCGCCGTCTCCCTAACTTTGCCTCTCAGTGCTCCTCACTCCAGCCTCTGTGCTGCCAAGGAAAGCTCTGCCTGCATTTCTGCTGATTGTGTGTCATTGGTGAAGTGAGAACTGGGGCTTGTCTTCAGGCTCAGGAGCAGGAGCCCCAATACAATGAGAAGAGAGAAGTCCTCTCTGTCACGCTTCTCTCCCAGAGCCTGCGTCCCAAGGGCTGTTCACTGCTCAGACTTCTCTTGGAATAATCACCAATATTTGAGCTTGATATTAGAGCTTGGCTAATTGTTGATAGAGGGGGAATAAAACACAGATGTGCAGAAAAACATGAGGCACAAGCCTGAAGTGCTAAACCTGCAGCCCTAATTTCAATGAGACGTTTTCCCATGTTCATGAACAATGCCATTCCAAAGGAGTGTGGCAATTCCTGAACCACAGCTGGCTCAGGTGGGGCTATCARTGCCTTTGTCCCAGCTGCACATGCCCTGGAGGCAGGAATAGCATTGCAGGAGCCTGTGCTCTGTGACTGCAACCCTAGCGCCCTGCTGTATTTGCCCTGCGATGCAGCTGGATTTCAAAGTAAAAGCTGAAAGGATAAAGTACGTGAAAGGATGAAGTATGTAAAAGGATAAAGTATATTCCATAACAAGTGCAAACACGGGGTTGTAGAGAGACAGCAAAGGAGAAGAACAGGCTGGAGCTTCTGGTTTAGAGGGGGGAGCCACCAGCAAGTGAGTAAATTTGCTAGGGATTTTCAGGAGAAGTTCTTACCGTGTGGGCTGGGGCTGGTGCTGGCACCTCTGGAAGCAGGAGCGCGCAGGGCTGCWGTGCTGCTGTCCCGCGGAACAGAGCCGTAGTGAAGGGGAGTGACCTGCTGCAGGCTTAAGTTTCCTCTGGTGGTGTGCAAGGGTGGTGTCCCTTCCACTCTGTTTTAAAGGAGTTACTATGAATCAGTCTGCCTTTAAAGAGAGAGAGAAGGAAAAAAAAAAATACGAAGCTACGCCCTGTTTTGTTGGCAGGGAGTCAAGAGGCAGGGAGGAAACCAGCGATTCAAAGAAATCTGTGTAGGGCTGTATCTGACTCAGTGTGCTGCACAAGAGACCGCAGCCTGGAAAAAAAGACTGATGCTGATCCAGCTGAGTAATAGAGGCCCACAACAGCATCTGTTTATAAAACTGAGCTTCTGGTTGCCATAAAAAAAAATGTATAGTTACACATGTGGCAACGAGACTCCAACAATACAATTCACTCAAACAAACAAATGGTTGGTAAGGGGCATGGGGAAGCTGGGTGAGTCACCACAGCCCCACTGCTCTGTTGCCCTTGAGGAGGGAGAAATTGCCAGGACTGGGAGTGCAAGGGAATGCAAATCTGACCTGTGGGATAGGCATGGACAAGACTTTTGGGAATGTACCAAAGAAGAGAAGTGCTCAAAGTGCAGCATTCTGGCCTGGTCAAAGCTCTGGAGCAACTGGTTAGCCCGATGGTGGTGGTTTGCTTCCACAGGGCATTGCGCTTCGCAGGCAGGGAAAAAGAAATAGGAGGCTGTGATTCAGAGATTGCTGGAGTCAGCATTTCTTCTCAATTAAAAGTCTTCTAAAAATAGATCTTATACATTTATAGAGAAGTCACTGGTGTAGCTGTCTCGTGGATGTTACAGGCGAGATTGAGCAGGGATGTGCTTGAGATGTGGGTGTGGAGGGAAGAAGTTCATGAGAGATCACAGAATCGTAGACTGATTGAGGTTGGAAGGGACCTCTAGAGATCATCTAGTCTAACCCTCATGCTCCAGCAGGGACACTCAGAGCRCAGGGCACAGGGCGGCATCCAGGTGGGTTTGGAAGATCTCCAGAGAAGGAGACTCCACAACCTCCCTGGGCAGCCTGATCCAGGGCTAGGTCACCCTCACAGGAAAGAAGCTCTTCCTCACATGGAGATGGAACTTCCAGAGTTTCACCTTGTACCCATTACCCCTTGTCATATCACTGGCCACCACCAAAAAGAGTTTGGCCCCATCCTCCCTACAGTCATCCTTCAGATATTTATACATATTGATCTAATCCCTTCTCGGTCTTCTGAAGGCTAAACAGGCCCAGTTCACTTAATCTTTCCTCATACAAGAGAGGTTCCAGTCCCTTTATCATCTTTGTTGCCCTCCACTGGACCCTGTCTAGAAGCTCCATGTCCCTCATACTGGGGAGCCCAGAAATGCCTCCAATACTCCAGATGCAGCCTCCCCAGAGCTGAGCAGAGGGGCAGGATCCCCTCCCTTGACCTGCTGGCAACATCCTCCTGATGCAGCCAGGATCCCATTGGCCTTCTTGGCCATGAGGGCACACTGCTCACTCATGGTTAACTTGGTGTCAATCAGGACTCCCAGGTCCCTCTCTGCGGAGCTGCTCTCCAGCAAGTCGACCCCTAATCTGTCCTGGTGCCTGGGGTTATTCCTCCCCAGGTGCAGGACCCTGCACTTGTCCTTGTTGAACCTCATGARGTTCCTCTCTGCCCAACTCTCCAGCCTGTCCAGGTCCCTCTGGATGGCAGCACAGCCCTCCGGAGTGTCGGCCACTCCACCCAGCTCGGTATCATCTGCAAACTTGCTCAGGGTGACTCTGTGCCTTCGTCCAAGTCATTGATGAACAAGCTGAACAGCACAGGGCCCAGCACTGGCCCCTACRGGATACCACTGGCCACAGGCCTCGMACTGGACTCAGCCTCATCATCTAGCTTAAATTGAGATCTATGCTGTGATAAGAGTTGGTGATCTGCTGCTCTAAGGAAATAAACCTGCYTTTGCAGAGGCCTAGGAAGAAATTGGCAGATACTAATAAAATACTAGGCTAAGACCTTTTCTTCTTTAATTGCTTTTATTCAAAAGAGAAAGCTGCTGCTCTTTGAAGTCTGCACAGATTTAAAAACATGGCTGTTTGTCATATTATTCCTTCTCTATGGTTTTACTGATATGGGTTTTGTCCTAGCCTGATCTTAGCTGAAAATGGAGCTGTGGATATAACATCAGAAAAGATGACATAGATATAGTGGTCAAAGACACTACTCCTAGGTAATCTCATGGGAATTTTGCCACTGACAGCAAATAAAGACAGGATTTTGTTCTCCAAGGATAGAGTATAATGCACATGGCTTAGAATGAGCTTCTTGGGTTTGGTGATACCTGTGAATAAGATGTCCAGAGAAAGCAAAATATATCTGCTTGGCCTGCAGAATGTGTTGGCATTTGCCTTATGCTGCACAGCCCATCTGCCCTTCCCTGTTCCCCCAGCACAGTTTATTGGAGCGAGGGATGCTCAGCTCAGCATGAAATACTGGAGTGCAAAGTTGTAAAGAAGGTCTCCGTGGAGCAGAGTTCAGCTGTGGCAGATCATCGTCTTTGCCCCAGACCTGTTCACAAGTGACTGGCCACCTGTCACAGGGCACTGCCTGCACACTCGCATGCAGAATTTCTGTCCAGGATCAACCAGCAATAACAGCTGGRTCTAAAGCACATTCACATGGGGCAACTACACTAAAGTCTGCTCAGGAGTTGAATATGAAGTGACCTGTGACCAGCGAAGCATTGTTTGTTAAGAGAAAGCAAATTCATTTTGTACAAATTGCTCCCTGGCCTGGGAGACCGTGTCAAGCAGTGGCCAGCATCAGACGCTGCACAGTAAAAGACCAGGCTTCTGCAGCATCAGCAACAGCTTGCCCACAGGGTTGTTTCTTCCTAGCTCTTCATCTGGAAATGTTGATGCCCAGCCAGCAGGGTAAACAAAAGTCACAGGACAGACCACAAAAGCTGTGACTGTGGCACTGGAGGAGTACTGGTATCCTGCCAAAAATTGGCTTCATCCCTGTTGCTATACCTGTCAAGCTGGATGTGAGGCTAGGCGACAGTAAGTGCCAAGTGAACGCTAGTACAGAGAGCTGCACAGGTTTGGGAGCAATACTCCATGCAGGTAAAATGATGGCTAARCAAGTGAGTGAATCCTAATGTCAGGGTACTTTGAGGTCAAGGTTGAGCTCAAGTTCCACTGAGAAAATTGGTAGGATTCTTTGGAGGAGGAATATCCTTGCATCCATCTATCCTTCTGGTCAGGGAGACAAGGTAGAAGTAAGAGAACACWCAGCTTCCTCCTACTTATAAAAAAAGATAGAAAAGCATTTTAAGTTGATGACACTTGCTGTGTTTTTCTTAGCTGTTCATCTGCAGATGAAGTGTTAGCTTTATGTGTGCTTGAAAGGAGAACCAGCCATATCCACTCATCTAGCTATTTTTTTGTGTGTATGTGTCTGGCAACTTCTCTCTTCAGAGTGTGTGGTTTTACAGTGCAGGTTGCAATGGAAAACCCATGATATGAAAACCTTCATCATGGAACCAAAAAACTAAAACATGTTTGCCAGTTTGACAGGCTAAGTTGAATTATGTAAGATCCTTGCTCCAAAATTCTTCTTGTTCCTTGGTCAAAGCATCAACCATGTCACAGGCATTTCTGAATGTCTACAGACAACTAATTGAAGGTGATCAAGTTGAAGCCACGAGGGGAATTTTGTGGGAATCTGGACTGGCATTTCTCCAAGCAGTGAGAGGATGAAACTTTCCCATGTGTGCCATGCCTTTGCTGAAGGTCTTCCCAAACAAACTGCTTGCAGCTGCTTAATGTCTGCTTGTTTTGCCATGCCCTATACATTTTCAGACATCACTACTATGTATAAACAGTTGTCCTTGGTGTAATAAGAGGGGAGGGAGATGGGAGATAAGGAAGGAAGATGAAGTGTGGAGTTGGGAGAAGGTGAGACATACTCAGGCTCAGCTGGAAATATCGCTTAAATATGATAAAGATGAAAGAATAAATCATTTCTAGAAAGGGAGTACCAGAGGAAATGGACTGTTTTCAGAATTTGTGCCTGGGAAAGGTTTGTATTTGAGTTCCCATGGGATGTGTTCAAGTATAAATTCAACAGGGCATACATATGGTATTCAGGTGAGCTTTTTTTGAATGACTAGCTGCAAATGGACACAGTATATGAAGCTCTGCCAGTCTAAACATCATATTATTGCACCTGAAGATGCTTGAGCCTTTCTTTCTCTCCCAAATGTGTTATTTACTGTGTGTCACAGAGTGCTTGTTTGTTGCAGGGCACAGCAGAGGTGATTTGCTCCATGCTGTTCACTAATTAGTTCTCTACTAGTCATGGCACAGAGGAGGTGGAGTTGAACCTAAGCTAATGTGTGGGTTTAAATACAGAAACCAATGAGATTCATACTGTTTTGTAGTGGTGTAACTGGTGTGTTTGTGTTTGCATCTTGGGGTTATCCATGTGATACAGTAATTTGCAGAGAGGCACATGATACATCTCAGAGCCATATGATAAAGTGCACTTGTCACGCATAAACCTGTAGAGCTTTAAACAGCAGCATTCATCCACTGCAGAGGAGCGGCCAGTGGTTCCCTTTATTATAGCTTCCTTCTGATCCGAAGGAGCAGATATTGGAAGTCACACCTTTATGATTTTGGTCATTTCTCTAACTTGTGTTGTCATGTTCCTGTCTCCTGAAAGACTGCTAGACTTCTGGTACTTAGGGAGGCCGACTTTAAAAGCTCTGAGGTATGAAAAGATGGATCATAGACAACACTGCAAGATGTACCTATCCATGAGCATATATTTTATTTTATTTTATTTTATTTTATTTTATTTTATTTTATTTTATTTTATTTTATTTTATTTTATTTTATTTTATTTTATTTTACTTTACTTTACTTTACTTTACTTTACTTTATTTTACTTT